ATGGAATGGTTTCATTTTTCAAAAGAAAATTTTAATTTTATTTGTTTGATAGATATTTTGTGTGGATATAGAGAAGGAGGTAAATGGAAATGTATTATTGTATAGCAGCTGTCCACGCGGACGCATCGCTCTCAAGTAGGAGAGAGGCAGATGTCGAACGCTGCCGAACGCGGAGGCCGATTGTGCCTCTTTGTCGCTCGTTCCGCGCTCTCGCTTGTACTTCAAGCCTTAAATGGAACGCCTCAGAGCGAGGTAACGCCGTATGAGTCATGTTTTTTCGTGCGTGCAGCCGGCTCCATCGAATTATAAGACGTTGTCACGTCAAAAATGTTATACAATTTTTCAATTCAGTGACAATTGAGCTCGCAAATAGTCTTTGTAAATTTGAACGTACAATTTGTTTCATTACGGGCTTGGATCTAGGCGACTAACGTCGCTCAGCTGATCTAGTGTGGATGTAACAAGTACCTATTGGGAAGAAGCCGAATGCACTTCCACCTTGTAAAAGAAAGTAAAAGTGAATAAGAAAAGCGCACCTTTTATAAAAAATGTTGAAATTGTTCGCCATTCGCTTCAATGCAACAATGACAGCGGCGTACCCGGTTGCTGCGAATTTTGGCCCAGATACCGGGAATATTTCGAATTATACGATAGGCATTGGTAATGTAACTCACTACCAACTGACGGTTGAATAAGAACCCTACTAGAATGCACCGTCACCCTACTAATTGTCCTCATTGTAATAGACTTTTATGAAATGACCACTAAAAAAATAAACTAACACTAACAAACAAGTAAATTCCACAACAATCCAAAGCAAACTGAACAACCTGTTAGAAACTACGACATTATGTGTATTTATTCCGGTCACTTCCAGCAGTGTAATTATACGAGGATATATCAATATTTAGCTTTTTACATTAAATGAAAACAAAATAACCAAAATTGGTCGTTCTGGACACACCCTTGTATTACTCCACGTGGGGTTAATGAGCCCTGCCAGGCAAAACTAACGTCATAATGAGCAGTTTAACACATGTGTTTGGTCAGAGTCGGTCTGCATCTTTTCTCAACTTTTACAACCATAACACATACATTTGTTTTCGTACACTAGTACGTTATATTACAAACCTTTACCAAACGCTGGGTGGCCAGGGTTGTTTGTGCACCGCTTCTAACTATACCATAGTCGTTATAATTTCTTTTCTACATAAAATAGCATAATACTCGACGCCATGGGCCACGTTAGGTTCACTACAGTTTACGATCATGGGATTTTCGATTGTGATAGATACGTAGTTTTTCTAACATGTTCAGTCATCTAATGGGCCTTAACGCGAGTGCATTTTCTTCGGCAGATCCGTAACTTAATACCAAACATAAACAATAACATTACCCAAAAAGCAGCTGATTCCGACCTACCGAAGGTGAATTTTTCTACCATCAGCTGACAATCGTAATTAATTTGCGATTGTGCAGGACCGGCATCAAAACTGTTATAATTTTATAATTTTTTATTTTGTTTCAAAAGTCAAAAGTGTTATAACATTTTATGTTCCAAATGTCCGTAGGAATCTGTGGTATAAATATTAATTATTATAACTGGGACACCCTATATA